ATTTAATCCAATAAGTGAATATTTCATATATTACACATACAGTGAAATAATCTAAGCCTTTTTTATTATAAATGTAGGTGATTGCGGTGTACACCTACAAAAAACTCCAAGGGTTTTTTTCTAATACAGAAATGTCTATCTGAGAAGAGCTTTAATCAGCTAATTAAGTCAAAACACCTGCAAAGGTTTCCCGAGCCTTTAATCTCTCAGTCTGGTTGTGGTGCTAACAATGAATTTTACCACAATTTTCAAATTTTTGGAGATGCACCTGTATACGTGTATGCGACCCCTTCACATTTAACAGGATTTACTCTGCACACTCTAGTATATGGAGGCAGCAAACAAACCCCTCTTCATATTTTATAGATCTCCAAGACACAACGAATCTAAGGGATGACACATTAAAGCAGCATTAATGGTCATTTTCTGGCCACTTGGGGGCAGCAGAATAAGCTGTAACCACACCATCGTCAGTTCGACTCCAGCCGAACTCTCGCTCGCTCTCCCTCCCCCCATTTCTTGTCTGGCTCTTGACTCTCACTCTGCCCAATAAAGGCGGAAAAATACTCAAAAAATATATTTTAAAAAAACTAAAACATCTGACTCTTTATCAGCTAAATGCTCAAAAGTAAGCGACGGGCTATTGAGCATATACTGCTAGTAGCTAACCTTGTCTGTCATTTGGTGCTGGGCAGGTAGCGTAAAAGGTGAGGGCCATAAAACCAAAACAATCAGCTTAAAGAGGCTAAAATGCTCCAAGGAGCTGAGGGGAACTGCAGAGGTGGTTAATAATTCTCTGTGGGTTTGTCACTATGAGTGACCCCTTTCACGCAGTCCTTTGTATATACTGTAAACATTGATTAGTGCAGCTTTAAAGTGAGATTATTTTTTTGGGTCCCAAGATGTTAAAAACCAAGCCAGACAAAAAAAGATAAACAATAGAAATCTTTAAAACCCAAATTAACACACAAAAAAAATCTATAGTAAAGTGCTAAAAAACAATAACAAATATCTAACTGATGTAATAGTGTCAAGCTGACATAAGTTTATTATTTTCATTATTGATTAATCTGCCAATTATTCTGGTCTTTAAAATAATAAATAATTTTTAAAAAAAGGTCAATATCCCGGAAACCCATAGTGACATGTCCAAATTGCTAGTTTTGTGTGAATAACTCCAAAGATATTCAGTTTACTTTCAAGTAAGACTGGAAGAGAATGGAAGCACACATTTCAAACGCTGGAAGCAGAGAATTTGGGGTATTTTTGTTTGAAAATCGACATAGACCAGTGGTTCTCAAAGTGGTGTCCAGGGGTCCTTGAGGGGGTTCCAGGGGGTCCCCAGCAAAAAGGGAAATCATTCATTTTTACTATAATTCCATCCATAAGTAAGATAGTGACTGAATGTATAACTATTTCGGTCATGGATTTCACACACTTTTTGGAATAAAATCCGATCAGATGGGCGATTCTGGGACAAAATCTTATCAAATGGGTGTCCGTGGTCTAATTTGTGTCAGTTTAGGGGTCCTTGACATGAAAGTTTGAGAACCACTGACATAGACAATCAAAATAGTTGCTGATTATAAATTATTAATGGTGATTGTTGCTAACAGCTTGATATTTAATGAAAGGCTGCTATACAGTGTGGCAAAACATTTCACACATTTCACTAAATTGCCTTTTGCCACATGTGACGGCAGAAAATTGTTTTCTTCTTTACTTATCTTTTATACAAGTACTTATAAGATTTTTCTCTCTCTCTCTCTCTCTAACCTGTTCCTTTTATTATTATTCTCATCATTCTAGTCTGTCCACATGTTTAGGGTTTAGGTCAGGGATGTGGAGTTGTTTTAGAGTGTACTTACTAGCTGTTCCTCTCCTTGCTTTGACTGGGACCAGTCAGGCCGGAGAGAGGATCTTTTGTTGCCCAAAACATAGAAACCCATACTTTGTAAATGATCATGCAGCCCTTTGCTCAGGGCCAGACGTTAGTGATTGTCCTAGGAGACAGAACCTCTGGTCCAGCTGATTTGTGTTGTAGAACTTCTCTGTTTATTCTCTTTTGTTAAATAAATTCTTCAAAGACAACAGTTGTAACTTAATTATTTGCTCAACCCCTCACCAGGAATATAATTCCTACAACACTACATATGTACATACTGTATAGCAGCCCAAGTTATGTCCAGATTGAGGTCACATCACATCAAAACATGAACATTAGTTTGAAATGATCATGAATAATCACACGCGGCCGACCTGCAGCTAGACATCTAATCCTCATTCTACATGGCAGAAAATGTTTTGCCTGACAATAAAGAGTGAGACACTGAAAGCATTACAGATTAAGAAGGTGTAGTTTGTTCATTGGTTGACTTTTAAGACTTTATGACCGTGTACACATTTCACTCCACACAAATGCTAAATATGACTAAATGCTCAAAATCAGTTCCTCCTGTTCATGCTCATATGTCTCACACATGATTTCTGTTGTAAGCGGCAGCAGAATATCTATTATCTATCTTTGGAAACCTGTTTTTGAGAAGCATTTTAACAGTTTTAAGAAAATACTGTCAGACAATGTGTGCATTCTGTGGTGCATGACGCTGTTTATAAGGACTGGCTGCTTAAGAAACTAGCCACAGGACCCGTGTAAGTGAGGGTTTATGTGAGGAAATAAGGCGTTCCAGTTGGATTTATTGTGCAGTGAGCCACATGAGATGTGTGAAACCAGATGCACCACATGAAAATGCCCTATGAAACTCAATGGAATAGTCTTACTCTTGAAGATGAAAACAAAAGGGCAGAAACCAAAATGTCACATATCAATATGGACATGATTAGTAACAGCCAAAACTAAGGTCAGATCACTAAGGTTACAATACAGATGATGTTGTACTTAGCTCTCACCTCTGAGGCCCTCCAGAGGGTCATAAACATCCCTCTTCGACACTGACAAAGAAGCGGTCACAGTCCAGGAAGTAGGGCCAAGCCATCTCTATCGCTTCGAAAGCGTGGATGCATCTTTTACGCACCGCCTCACAGGTGACGCGGCAGGGCTTCAGCACCGTCTCCTTCTCGCAGCGCGGAGCCAACACAGAGCAGCCCAGCATTCGGATTTCAGGGTTGCACTCTCCCCTGAGCAGGGACTCAACCACACTCATGAGGAGGTACTCGGTGCCAGCCTCGGCATCTTCGCGTTTGTGGAGAGGATGTTCGGGAACATGGTCTGAGTGTAGGCCATGTCGTCGCAGTAGGACAGCAACACATCCGTGCATTTGGCTGAGGCAAAAAGAACATTGAGATAGGTTAGGAACATTTTAGAAACAAACGGTTACTCAAATTGATTAGAGAAAAGTGCAGGAACCAGTAGGGAACAGTTATTCACACCAACAGCCAATAACTAA